GCTGCGGCCGAGTGGCCGGAGGTTTCACCTGGGTGGCCATTTTGACCGATTTCACTGGCCTGAAGGTGCACGGTATGTCGCCGGCTGTGCTAGCGCTGCGCTGGAAAGCTGGTTCAGTGTCCTTGAGGATCTGAGTGTGCAGAGGGCTGGAAGGTTCCGAGGTGGGGGCCACCACTGGAGACGTTTTCAAAGGCTCCAGGGTGTCGAGGACAACATCTGGCGTGTGCTTTACGCTGCTTTGCCTTTCCAGCTCCCGCAGCTCGTTCAGAGCAGAGTTCATAGTAGCTTCAATATCCTGCAAACACAAAAGAGAAACCGAGTGAATAACAGAACCCAGGCACGTTAAGAGAGAGATAAAAGTCAGGCTTTGAGAACGGCGTATTTGTTTTCAGCCTGTAAACACCAACGCTCAAACCAACTGGCGGGTCAAGGACCTTTAGGTGTCAAAGCGAACCCCACGCCAATCTACACAGCATTACACACTGAAGCCAATACGCAGTCCTGTTTTCCATCAACGGGGAGCAAAATGGTTGCTAGCCCTTTCTCGACGCTAATCTGGTCCTTTACTGGTCCTGATGCTGCTTGGATTTCAAAGATGAGTACAATCCCAAAACGCAGCAACGCACAGGAGAGCGTGTGATTCAAAGTATTAGGATCCACTCTTGCACTATATTTGGCACGTGAGATTCAGGAGAGTAAATTCTTGAAGAAAGGGTTGATGATTTTGACACTGGCAGATGGGCCACACGCCGAACGCCGAAATCCTTGCGTGCTCTCGCTGCCTCTTTGGTTTTGCTGCTGTCCGAGCTGTCTTCCCTTCCCAGAATGGTATTGCAGGGGACTCAGAATTTTAGTGTTTTAGAAAACACAGAAGATATCAGAAACATAGATAGAAATTCAAGTTGGCGCTTCTCCCTCCTCTTATAACATATTATGGTTATTAACAAATACATATAACGAGAACTTTGAGATAAAAACATGGCTTTTTTTTGTTCTCTGGCATAGCAGGGCCTACACGTTTGCTACAGCCCGCGCTGCGGAGCCCGCCGGTGCACGGAATTCACCGGAGAGCAGACGAGCTCAGCCTTTCTGTGACTCACAGTTTGGCTGCAGCTTTTTAGCTTCCTCAGAGGTTTTTCAGGGGGTGGGGAAGGTAAATCAGTCAAGGAATGGTGGAAGAAACCAGAGACAGTAATCTGAAACCTCCAGCCTATCCAGAGGCCAGGCAGATTTTATTTGTGAAGTTGGGGAAAGTATGTAAAACGCATGGCGATTACTAGATGGCGTTTGAACAGATACTACAGGGCAAAGAGAAACACTAATTTAATGCAGTGTTGTGTCCCCCCCCTCTTCTCTTTTTTTAACTCCTCTTTTCTTTTTCTCCCCCAACTTCTCCAGTGAAAACTATGGAGTTAGCGTTCTGGCAAGAAGAGGAGACAGAGCAACTTCAGTCAGAGCTTAATTGAAAAAACAAAGACACTGATTTATGTCACCCAAAGCCTTGGAAGGACAACGAAATACGAAGACAACAAAAGCCATGTATTGTAATTCCACTAGAATAAATGGGCTAAAGATTATTCATCACGGCAAAACACAGCTTTCCATCAGATAGTGTATCAGATTTTTATTTGGACCTTATCTATTACTTGACACCGCTGTTTTAACAACAAAAATGATGTTTATTTTTCGCATCTCTTCCCCCAGCTCTTTAGAAACCTACAAACTCCTGAACCAGGCAGAGAAGTCAGGTCTCCCAGGGCCGGCTTTGTAATCCGAGAGCCAAGCATTCCTTGGCTTTAGATAGATCCATGGCATACTGGGAACAGTTGGCACAGGCAACGTACGTGTGCAGGCACATCTAACAGCTTGGAGCGGGAGAAAGGGGAGATCCTTCATGGACCAGGGAAATCCGTAACACTGCCATCCTTCACCCCATTAGTAGCCGTCACTTGTTCAAAGCTAAGTCTGACTTTCAAATGTTTTCTGTTCTACCTGTGAAACCACGGATGCAAAGACACCACTTGGGTTTTTGCTCACAGCAGTCACTGCCCTGGCAGCTTACGGCCCCAGACACGGGGACGGGGCAGATGTCTGCGTGGAGGCACGCAGAGAACACGCAGAGAGACGAGGAATCTGTAATAAACCAGTCTGTGTCAAAATCAGCAGAGATGAAGAGAAGTACTAAGAACCCCTTTCCCTTTAAGCTGCGCAGAAGGAATCTGAGAAGACGGTTTCCTTGCTGCCTGGTCAGTGTGTGGAGTCAGCCCCAAATGCAGCGCTCTCTGCAAAGTTCAAACACAGCTGCATACGCAGCAGTAGCCTGCCCTCACTTCGAGGCACCTGTCTAACTAACTAACTAATGCAAACTAGCAGTATTATGTTCCAAGTTGGTTTCTAATGACACACGGAACCCTGTAAGCGTATAAAGATGCCACTGTGAGCACTGGACAACTCAGCAGCCTGCTTTTATTTTGACTGTGCTACTCCATATGCTTCCAATGCCTAACCACAGGCAAGTTTGCACAACTGACAGGAGAATGTTAAATTGACACTAAATACTTTACTTTTCCTCATGTCTTGAAGTTATGGTTGTGTAAGTTTTTGCTGACAGCTTTGGAATCTGTGTAACCTTCTGAAATGGACGTTTTTATTGTTGAAACTAAATTCCGAATAATGAACAGGGCCAAGTTGTTACAGAGGAAGGACCTGACTGTTTATCTTCACTCATGAAAGCAGCCTCAGTGACTTACAGAAAGTGAGGTTGAAAGACTCGACTCAAGCTGTGGAGTAAGTTAATATTGCATTGCAAGAAGGGAACGGATAACGAGGTTAAATCAGACTTCACGTTAAAACAGCTCATTCTATCCAACGTTTTACGTTTCCAAAACAAATCCTTAAGGCAAAGCGCTCCCGTTTACCTGTGCAATAACTTCAGGGTCCATGGGCCGATGGTTGTTGAAGCTCTTGGACCTCCCTGCTGTCACAGTTTTCCGGATCTGCGGGCTGTCTATCCTGTTCTTCAGAGACGAGTGTCGGCTGATAGAATTGAGGCTGCCATGGCCACTGATGGAGCACTTATCTGGAACCTCCTTGGGAAGACTTTGGCTCATAATGGGCTGAGATGAGGGTCTGGAACCGGCTATGGCTCCTGGGGAGGCTGGTTCTGCCATTGAACTACCTAGTCCATGGCTGTCACTTTGACGGAAGGCTCTTCTGATGCTGCCTGACTCTGGTTTCTTTCTTTGCCTTCAGTCACAAAAGCAAAACAAGTCAATACAAGCAGGTACACATAACGGGCTGCAATTTGAAGATATCCCCCCAAAACAACACAGAGGACAATGGGAAGAGACATGAAAGATACCCGGCTTACAAATACACCCAGGATTTTAGGAGTAACTGTGAGACAGTAGAATTATAAACCATTCCAGTTTAACACTTCTAACAACAAGACTGAGTTTCTGGCAGCTGTGCACATTCAGAGCAAAAACAGAAAACTTGGATGGAACGTAATTAACGTGGTCAAGAAGAAAAGAATTTGTATTTGAACAAAAAGAAAACCCTCTGTGCCATCAACAGGTTTTGATGATGTGTTTTATTACATTAGAAGAGCAGAGCTACAATTTTTGACTGGAGGACACAGTATAAGTCTACTAAGCTCCTGGCCCAAGGCATCAAGTTACTTTTTTCAAAGATTGGCAAGCAAAGAACCCCATAGTTTCGGGTTAATGATAATTTCCAATATTTGCTGGTGGTAATAGATGTTTCTTTTGCATGGCTTTAGCAGGACCATGAGGCATTATCTATGTAGGGCTACAGATCTAACAAAAGATGATGTCAAATGGATGAGCCGGTCCAAATAATTTAGTTTCTACCCCAGCACCATGCAGACTGACAGCACGATTCCGCTCAAATCATAGGAAGGCCAATGCAGCAGAATACTTTATGCCATAGGTCTGAAGCTTGGCATCCATTATACAGGGAAGGATCCATTTATATATAGCACCAGCCCCATGAGTAACTGCAAGAAAGTGTTAACTCCAGTGGGATTTTGGCATCCAAATAATAATTCAGTGGGTGGCACAACTGTCATTGCGAAACCATCTGATTTAATTTTGCCCAAGTCTGTTCACACATAGGTCAGAAGATTCATTCCTAAAGAAAAAACAACAAAATGAGTCTTATGCTACTATTGCTAAATATCAGTTTCCCTAGTAAAGGGAAAAAAACTGGAGTGGACATTACCCAGGCTTCTTAAAAACACTACATACAGCACTAGCAAAACCAGCAGATGGTGAAGCTCCAACATATCTCTGTGCGTTACATAAAATCTT